GCTAAAGGCGTGCTTTCGATCCATACTGCTAGTTAAGCAGTTTTTGGATCACGGGTTTGATAAGGCTTGTTCCATCTGTGGAGAGTTTGTACCATCGACACGCGTGACAAAGACAGCTGGACAAGCCGTACCAAGCCTGCTACCGAAAAACTACTTAATTGGCAGCACTGGCGGAAAGCACACTTCCAGTTCCACAAGCACAATAGCTGAGGATCACAGGACCAACTGCAGAAGTCAACCCAGATCACCCAGAATGAGGTTCGAGAGAGACGGGTCGAAACGTCGGTACTGATCAATCACCCGATTTTACGTGTTCAGCTGCTTGCCAGTTTTAGTCTTGCTTTATCCTTGCCAGGTAGACAAACAAACGCTAGTGAATGTGTAAACACTGATATATGAGAGTACATGGCATGCTGACCACGTTACCGAAAATATTTCCGTCAAGAAATTGTTGATAGCAGCGAAACAGAGGTTGTCACCGTACCATAAACCTGGCGACGGGAATCTTGCATGCGATGGTGTCCATCTTTGAATATGCGGATGTACGTTTACCTTGAACTTCCTCGATGAATGTCATTTAGGCCATCGCCGTTTATTCGCTCGTAATGGAGCTGTGCGCACTGGGTGACCAGCGTCTCAACGGTGACAAGCAAATTGAATTTTTGTTCTTGACACCTGATAAATGGTTCAAGTAACCTCGCCAAGGTGCAACTTGCACCTCGTTGAGGATGCCCGAGTTTCCTGCTTGTTGTTCGGTGTCAAATCAAATTTACGCACACCTACGGAACCGTCATACTTTCGAATGTATTTATTACATTGTTTTGGCAGTGGCGAGACATACGCAGCGCCTTTGCGGGATAGTGGACAGTCATCATCTGCTCAGACGGTAATGTGGACAAGAAGGGCGTGTTGCGTGCATGGCGAGGTTCGTAGCGATCGACGTCCGTTTCCGGTGCAGTGTCTGATGCTCCCGTGGTAGCCGGTGGCCATTCGTAAACTGGTGGTGTGAATCGCGTCGTAAATCTTGTCAGTTCGTCACAGCTCCGGCGACGGTGGGGTCTCGAATCAGCCTTTATCCGGACACCGATGTGACTTGAGCAATCTGCTGGCAGCCTGCGCATGAGGACTATCGACAATGTTTTAAGAGCATTCCGGCGCGGACCGTCGCGCTTGCGAAATGATTATTCCGCTGTTTAATGTCGGCCACGCGTTGAATTATTAATTTCTAGTCGCGCGTTGTCGACCTCAAGGCGACTATCGATTTTAGCGTTTATAGTGGCTGGTGTTCGTGTACGGTTGTCGACCGGTAGATGAAATCCTGCTGTCGCGACGACAACGACGATCAGAGACAACAGACGGACGGACGGGCTGACGGACGGACAGACGGACGGAGGAACGAAGGAACGGAGGGACAGACAGACAGACGCCGACAAACCAACGGATGAAATGAGCGAACGAAGTGAACGCCGCTTAAAATCGCCGAAGCTGCTTCGTTTTATTCATTAACACTGGTGTCGTTGCCGCTGTCGCCGCCGTCCTAGTCGTCTCCGTGGTCGCAGTAGTCGAAGTAGTCACCACCGTATCGTTAACGTTCGATTTTTCATTACCTACTGTGCGCGCATCGCCAGACGTGGCATGCTGAGGCAAGAAGCGAGGACTGAGGGTGAAAAATGATCCATAGCAAAGGCTGGCTTTGTCCTCGAGTTGTTGCCGTTATCGCCGCCGCCAATGCGTCGTCATATAGCTCGCGTCCTCATCGTCTTCAATAAATTCACTGCCGTGCTCACTTTGGACGACGACGGACAGCGCCGGACCGTGCTACCGTACGACGATTTTCAAGTTACATCATATGCGAACGGCGGACCACACTCGATTATGATGAGCTGAACGCGCGGTGAGTTTTGCATGCTGCAGATTATTGATCAGCGCTAGTCGACTATTTGCATGTCGCTTATATGAATTGTATTAAAAATGAACTGCACAAATAAATGCATCAGTGACGTCGTCGCCGTAGTAGCCGTCGAATAAAACAACGAGTGCGCACGCGACTAAGCGAGCGAGTGAGGAGAGCGAGAAGCGAGCAAGCAAAAGGATTTTCGTCGCCAGCATTCTGAGCCGTTTCCACCAGTCATTTGCTGTCGACGTGCTAAAAGGGATCCCGAACCAAAACGTCAAATGGAAGAATTTTCTTAAGCACATACGCTTCTTTGCATTTTTTATTATTTTTCCCTCTCTTCTGTTCCTCTCCTCGGCTGCGCGCCGCCGATTTCCTGCCAAATACCATTGCTTCCCTCGTCGACAAGTAACGACCGCTGGCCAACCGTTTGCTACCGTCACCGCGCCAGTGTCTGAAGCGTCTGACGACGATGACCAATCGGTGTATTTCTAGCGATATGTCGCACGCTCATGGCCCGGTGACGGAGTGACGGCGTCGTCTTGACCGTCACCATGTGTCATCGCGACACAACGTTCCGTTGTACCTTTGGTGCTGCTGGGTCAAGATCGGTAAGCAGAAGTTTGCTGGTTGTGTGTTGGTCCCCTGATCGACCCATAGGCGGTCGCTTTCTTTCGTCGCGCGACGCGCAGTCCGGCGACGTCGCGGCATGCGTCGAACAACTTTCGCCGGCCACACGCCGACCGGTATTGATCTGTATTGCTTTACTCGTTTTCGGCGAAAAATTCGTTATTTAATGGGTTAATACTAATAAATAATGCTTCGTCCAAACCAGTGGCAAACAGAGTGACTACGTGGGCAATGGCGGTCATTAATTGATCCTTTATTTTTAAACTGCTCTCATTATTAATCCTTGCCGCAAGTTTTCCATTTACTGGTCTTAGCGCCGACTTAGTCGGCGCGTAGCTTGTGCTGCTTCCTCGCTAATCAATAGACTAAGTTGTTCTTTGACGGATTGCTGCGAGTAATCACAAACC